TGCATGTGGATTCCAAAGCTCAGTAACAGTGGGAGCAACTGCCTCTGCAAAGGCCAGAGGAGGCTTTAGAAGAGCTGGCATAACAGAGAAGTTGAAAAAAATTCAATAATCCAAGCACAGCAATGTATTCAGCTCATTTGCATCTTTTGATACTCTACTGTACTTGCTTTGAGAGAGAATACAATTGTCCAGTCACAGAGCACTCTGAATAGGCAATCTATTCTGATTTTAGCACTGTGGCAACAATTCCAAAATGCTGCTTAACATGAATTCAAGTTCATCATTTTGTGCTCCATGCAACAGAAAAGCAGTGAAGGCAAAGACTGTGTTTTGGGTCTCTGATTTCCTGAGTGTATTTTAAACACAGCCTACTCAGTTCTGTGAATAAAAGGCAAATGAAAACTTGACAAGTTCTTAGACTCAGTGGTGAGTTTGTGGGTTGGAAGTGAGAGAAACAGGTCGAAGGAACAAGGACGCAAGGAAGTCTGATCTGCAGTGATAAAAGCTGTGGCCCAAGAGCTCCCCAAGCAGATGAGCACCATGAGAGCAGCACAAAAAGCACTATTTACATGGCTCATTTACTAAGCAGACACATCAAGAACTCCTGTACATTCATCGCTGCTTTAACAAACATGATAGCAACTCACATGTTCACATTGTGAGTAATTTCTGACAAGACACGGTCAGCCTCTGGGAGCCAGGTGTTTGTTTTAAGTAAGTGTTTGGCTTCCTCCCCAGATTTGGTCATCTGCTCACTGGACTTTAATTTGAACAGGAAATCACGTATATGAAAAAAAAAATCACAGGAGAAGACCCTTACTTCTAGGCTAACAAAGATTTTCAGGGAGGAGAGGTAACAAACTTCGTTAGGAGTAATTCTCATATATTTATTTTTTGTAATAAGGAGATAATGTTGGGGCAAGCACAGTGGTAGAGCAAGCTAATCCTCTGCCCTGTGACACCAGTATTCCATATGGACACTGGTGCATGTTACAACTGCTCCACTAAAGATGCAGCTTAGTGCTTATGGCCTGGGAAGACAGTGCAGAACAACCTGAGTCCTTGGGCCCCTGTATCCATGTGGGAGACACAGAAGCAGCTCATGGTTCATGGATTTAAATTGGCTCAGGCCTCACTGATGTGGGCATTTGGAAAGTGAACCTGCAGATGGAATGATCTCTCTCTTTCTCTCCTTATCACTGTAAAATCTGCCTTTCAAATGAAAATAAATAAACCTTCATAGAAAATGAGATAGTCTTGTGAATTGCACTTAATACAGGGCAGTCATCTAATTTGACTGTAAACCTAAAAATCATTGCTATAACACGCCCACTTTTATCTCTAATTAGATCCTTATCAGACCCTTTTAAACTATTAGATTTAGTTTCTGTATTTAGAGGAAATGGTCAAGAGGGAAATATACTTGTATTTAGGGGAATAGAAGGTATAGTTCTTCAGAGCCTGAAATTTGAGATCAGAGCTGTGAGATGAATGAATGTGTCATTTACTAGTCACGTAACTTTGGATAAATCAAATTCACCTGCTAGTACTTTGGCATCGTCATCACTAAAACATGAATAGAGGTTCTAAATATCTACAGTGTTTTACAAGATTAAAGTGAAATGTCACATATATTACATGCAAAGTTTGCACAGAGCCTCACAGACAATACTTTTGAGCAGAAGTTGTGCTTCGTACTCTCGATTATTGTTTCTTTGTCTTGATGTCTGTCCGCTGGGAGGCTGCCTAAACCTGACATTTTTTAAAAATATTTTTATTTTGAATTTTGAATTATGTGGTACATTTTTGTATAGGTTGGGATTCCCCCCAAACCCTCACCCCCATCAGATTTTTCCCATTTTGTTACAATAGTGTAGTCCTTCATAAGGAATTATAATTCAATCAGTCTCATTTAAGTGTACCCCGACCTGACATTTTGATATGGTCAGTAGTAGGGCAGGGAATGATACTGGAGGTTGGGGCCATTTTTGCTTCTCTTCCCCCGCCCCCCCGGGTAGATTTCAGCATTGGTACTGACTGCATTCCTCTCCCCATGGCCACAATTCCGGTTCAATGGTTCCTTACCCTGTAAACTAGAGCTCACAGTCAAGCTAACATAGGCAGCTCCTTGGGCTTGGGAATGGCCATGGCTTTTGCTTCAGGTTCTTTCTCTCTAGGTGCTCTACTATCTCTTCTCACGTATTTTCTCACTTTCTCCAGCTAGATCCTTTATGCATACCACTAGCCTATGCTGGGACTTTAACGTGCATAAAATGACAAGAACTTCATTTGCACATCTTTCTTGAGGAACCATTTAATAAATCTGGAAGAAGCTAATGCAGTGGGAAGTTGATGGGATGGTGATGGTTTGTTTCTGTCATGTAGGCCTAGTTTTGAAGGTTGGGGAATGTTTGCTTAGATGGCATGACGCATTAGGAAGGGAGTTGTTTGGAAGGAACGATGAAGTGCTTTTATAGATACTTGAAGCAGGTTGATGCTCACAGTGGCAAAATGAGCAAGAAGATTATGGGAAAAATAAGAAAATGCGACCAGCTATCATATAAGGCTTGTGGTAGGCAAAATAATGATGTTCTCCCAAAAATATCCAGGGAATCTGTGACTATGTTGCCATACAGGCAGAAGGTACCTATCGGATATGATTAAATGAAGGATCTTTATTTGGGAGGACTACTCTGATGGACTCAGAGTAAATACAAGAATTGTTAGGGAGACAATAGGGCTAAGTGAGAGAAGATGATGTGATAATGAAGCAGAGTCAGAGGGGTTTGAAGGTGTTACACTTCAAGCCAAGCAATGTCCCTTGAAGCCGAAAGAACAAGAAATGTGATTATTGCTTAAATTTCCCAAAGATACATGATCCTGGTGACATCTTGGGTTTGTTCCAAGATAGCAGATTCATATTGTTTTTAAGACAGCAACTCTAGAAAATATGATAGCAACAATGGGAAATTGATATAGGGATAGTACGAGATAGAAGGTGTACATTTGAGTAGTTGGTTGGGAACTGTGTATTTTTTGTCTGAAAGGTAAACAGTTATTTGACTAAAAACTTGGGCTATAATGAGACTTCTGCAGTAGGAGGGTGGAGTAGAAGTTGCGTCAAGATTGGAAATGAGATAGACTCCACAGTAGTGTGCACAGAGATTATGCTAACAAAACCTCAGCTTAGGTGTGGACTCTGTTAAGTGTCATGAAGTTTCCATTTGTGTAACTGGCTAGAGACTGGTGAGGAAGAGCAGACAGACATGGTGATGTGCAGGGAAACCAGTCAAGGAAGCGAAAGAGCCAAATACCACCTTCTTAATGCTGTGTTCTGACAGAGGCGGTAAATATCACATATATGAGCGGCCTGCTGATTTTTAACTAGTAACTAAAAATTGTAAACTTCAGTTGGATATGGCTGTCAAAACACATGCATACATACAAAGGAGTGGAATGTTCAATTTAGGAATATTTTTGCATTGTTTTTCTTCATGTCTACTTTTAGATTGAGCAAGGTTTGGTAAACCAACATATATATATACATATATGTATAGACATATACACATATATATGAAATTATAGCTTGCTAATCTTTTCTGTTTAAATTTTATTCTTGCACTTTCAGCAACTATGCAAAAACTCATTTGATAATTTCTGTACTAGTTATTGTGTATGTGGTGAAATGAATAATTAGTAAACTTCAGATTTGGCACATAGGCAAAGTGCAAAGCAATCTCCAAAATGTTGCCTTGAAGAGGACTCATGCATCAAGTACTTGTAAGGGTTAGGAACAGTAACTAGCAAGGCAAGCCTCTCTGGCTGCAGTGCCGTCAAACGCTACCAGTGTTTGGATTATTGGACATTTCCTGCATAGTAGAAAGCGTTTGGGTGAAAAGCCAGCAGCCCCATGTTAACTCTTGATGCCACCTCACTTCAAGATCTGCTTCTTCATAATGAATTTCTAAGTGATCTTTATAAAAGTTAACAATGCTTGGCCAGCTTACACAGGTCTAAACTGCAAGATTCGCTCCTATTTTTAAAGGTTAAGTGCTAAATTAAACAGCATCATTCAGCAGGCTAGCAATAAAACCATCCAGCTGTATATCAATGACACGCTAAATCAACCAGTTATTAAGTCAGATGATTCCCGTTACACAAAGCTTCCACCAGTGCAAACCCACCAATCTGCCACCCTGCTTTGAGCAATTCCACTTCTGCTCCTCACGTAGTAACTAGTTCTATGAGAAAAATCCAACCCGGGGTAATTATTTGGAAAACCTCAGAAAATGCTATGACCCAACTTTTTTTCTGAAGTGGATATAGTGTATATTTCCCCCTGTGCCACTGTGATTTTAAATTCTCTTTTAAGATATGTACACACACACACACACACACACACACACACACACACACACAAATACAGTTTTTACATTAAAGACAAGCCTGCCCTGTGCTAAATGCTAAAAGCTAAATTCTCACTGTGCCGTTCTCGTGTTCAGAGAATATCCCTTGCCAGAGAGGCTAACATCAGTTCTGGACAAGAAGCAATGTTAACTTGCATCTCGCTTTTCCCTATTCCGGGGGAGAAGAGACTGAGAAAACTACTTAGCAAGAAAACGTAATCATATCAGACTCTGGACCAATCCAGCTGGCATTTAAATCGGGCGCGCTGTAGTCCTCCACTCCCCCAATGGCATTCAACAAACTCCTAAACTGCTTGCAAAGCATACTGCATTCACCTGGGAGGTCCACTCAGGCACGTTTTCAGTACTGCCAACAGTCTTACTTCTGGGGCGAAGAAATTTGCAGACACCCAAATTAATTCAGATCAGATCCAAAGCACAGCACCACCCGCTGGACTCCAGCTTGGCCCAAGCCCGAAAGTACACGGGTGCTCCCGCCTCCTCTGCGCTCCCCACCACTCTGGTTCCCTTGCTCCCGACCCCGCGCCTCACGTCTAAGAGATAGATGCTGAAAAAGAAAGGGGAGTCTCTTACCAGTGAGGAGCCAGCAGCAGCAGGCGACCCCTGGGCTGGCACGCTGTCGGGGGGCCATGGCAGAGCGGTGGCAGTCCCCGGCGGACGGGTGGGTTCTTAGGGCAGGACCGGACAGGACGCAGGAGCAGCACCGGAGCGCCGAAGCCGCGCGCACGCACTGAGTCCCTCCGGCGGCCTCAGCTGATCTGAGTCTTGGGTCCCTAAGCGGCCGCAGCACCGGCAGCCACAGAGAAGAAGTGTTTTCGTCCGGCGCCCTAAAACCGCTCCACGCTTTTCATATCCCAGACAGATTGCCACATCGCCCGCCCCTTCACGCTCTCGCTTTCTGAAATCCTGCTGGCAGCCGCCCAGGCTCCGTCCGAGACATGGACAAATAAAGCCAGCTTCGCGGGTCCGTGTTTAGGCTAAAGTCCACGGGCTGCGCAGCAAACCTTAAAGGGACATCCACAGGGGGATCCCGCTCTCACTGCCAAACCCCTAAGGTGGTGGGAAGGCAGCCCAGGCTGGACCTTTGGGAGGGAGTCGCCAGCTCGCAGTGGCTCCGCCTGAATTCACACCCCCTACTCCTCCTGGGCTGGCCCGGAGGACCTTCTGAAAGGATCCAGGCTCCTGGGCCCGGAAGGGGCAGGCTGCCTGTTTGCCTGGGGTCCAATTGCGCAGGAGGGATCAGCCATCGGTGAAAGTAAGCCGAGCCTTTCTGAGGTCCCCAGGATTCCCTCTTCTGCGGACCCTTGAACCTCGCCGTGAAGTTGTCTCAGGGGTGGGGTCAGGGAGGCCTCATTACCTTGAAACATTCCAACAGAGAGATTTGCATTCCCTTATGGAGGGTTTACTTCTGGATGACTCGCAAGGACAGGGTGGTTGCCTAAAACTTTTTTTTGAAAGAGAAAGAAACAAGACAGAAAAGAGAGAGAAAGGTGGAGAGCGGTTGCCTTAGAAATGGAATGTGTGTGGGCTATTTTGTTTAAGCTGAATTAGGGTGTTTGTACACTGGGAGTTGTATCTAATAAAAAAAAAAACAGGGCTCTGTTTTTTTTTTCTTTTTTTCCATTTATGAGTAAGATTGCCTAAAAGCATTTGTCTGGTTCTGCTTCCTGGGAGACTGGGACTGGAAGAAATCTTGAGGAGTTTGTAGAGTGACTTGACGGCTACATTCACAAATTAGTTTCAACTGACGCTGGTTCTATTCAAAACAGCTGTGCGTCAGTGAGTTATAAGAATTTCAGGACGGAACAAGGATCTGGTGAGTGGGTTTATGTGTGGAGGTAACTAGGGAATCCAGTTCAACCCAACCACCAGTTGAGTGTCTGCATCCAGCAGGACCAAGGCTAGGCAGCACAAGAGTGCCACCCAAAGGGGAGCTCCTTTCCTGGAACACAGGACAGTAAACCCGTAACTGTGTTGGAGGGGTAAGCCACAGGGTGATGGGTCTGTGCCCCAGTTGAGGACTACAGCTACTTGAAACTGAGCAAGACCAAAGGGAAAGAAGTTCAGTGAAGGTCAAAAAATAGGTCGAGCAAAGCACAGAGGTTAAAGACACCAGATCTCAGTGCCAAGACTTGTTAGCCAAGGAATTCGTTTTTTTCCAAATTATGTTTTGAAGTGATCTTGTGCTTGGTACACAGATTAAAAGTCTTTTCTGGGCCTGGTGGCAATAGCCGAGTGACTAAATCCTTGCCTTGCATGTGCCTGGATCCCATATGGGCAGTAGTTTATGTCCTGTCTTTTCCATGTCCCATCTAGCGTCCTACTTGTGGCCTGGGAAAGCAGTATAGGATGGGCCAACCCCTTGAGACCAGGTACCTGCTTGGTAGACCCAAACGTTCCTGCTTCAAATTGGCTCAACTTTAGCTGTTGCAGCCACTTGGGGAGTGAACCAAGAGATGGAAGATCTTTTTCTCTGTAAATCTGACTTTCTAATAATTTCTTTTTAAATCTTGAAAAAGTATTTTCTTCTGTTTTCACCTCATATGATGTTGCATTTTAATTATAGCTTCAAAAACAATGAGCAAATCCATACCTAGACAAATTGTTTAATGTTGGGCAGAAGTCAAGAAGTCAGGCCCATCCCACAAATCTAAGGGACCTCCCTCTCCCCTCCCCCTGCCTGGTCAGTTCTCTCATGCCTTGCCAAGGAAAACCTCTCCTGTGTGCAGCTCATCTCCTTATGCATAGTAGCATTAGTGGACACAAGGAGTCATTCGTTTTGGGTATCACCAAATAATCAGCTTAGTGCTGGAGTTGCTCAGAGGAAAGTTTTATTTCCTTGTAACAAGAGGTCCCTGGGGAAATTCAAAGTGCCTCCCTGAGGGTAGTTCACCAGGACCTTTATAGCTAGGGCTAAGGAAGTATCCACATAGTAGAAAATTAAATAGAAGACTCTTAACTGCTTGCGATGCACATCCTTATACATTGTATGATCTGAAGAATCTTGGTCAGGGGTGGGAATTTGGCACAGTTGTAAAGACAGGATGCTCTTTGGCATACCAGTATTCTGTATTAGATTCCCGGCATTCCAGTCCCAGATCCTCTTCTCCTCCTTCCTCCTCTCCATCCCACTTCTCATTCTTTCCCCTGCCCCATTTCCTCCTCTTCCTCATTCTTTTCCTCCTCTTTTGCTCCCCTCTTCTTCTTTCTTTGCCATCCCCTCTTTGTTGTCCTTCTCCTCTTCCTGTACTTTCTCCTTCATAAAGAATTATTTTATTTATTTGAAAGGCAGAGTGGCGCACACACACACACAGAGGGAGGGAGGAATGGAGTGAGAGAGGGAGAAAGAAAGGGAGGGAGAGAGAGCGGAAGAGATAGAATGAGGGAGAGAAAGAGAGAGAGAGGGAGACAGGGAGGGGAGGGGAGAGGAAAAAGAGAGAGAGAGATTGAGGTTTTCTATCTAGTGCTTCACCCATCAAATGGTCACAGTAGCTGGGTGTTGAGCCAGACTGAAGCCAGGTACCTGGAACTGTATTGAAGTTTCTTACCTGGATGCAGGGACCCAAGGTTTAGGGCCATCCTCTACTGACCTCACAGGTGCATTAGCAGGGACCTAGTTCAGAAGCAGAGCCACAGGGACTCAAACATGTGGTATCACCTGGAATGCAGGTGGCATGGCAGGTGGTGGCCTCTGGGTTCCAATGATGCCACAACACTGCTCCTCTGACCTCCTCTACTTCTGACTCCAGTTTCCTGCTAACACATAACATAGGAGATAGGAGGCAGTCGGTTATTGCCCAACGCTTGGGTCTTAGGTCTCTGCTATCTACCTGGGAGACCTAGATGGAGTTCCTGGGTGCTAATTGTGACTTTCTTAGCTATAGTTATTAGAGGCATTTGGGAAATGAACCACTGGATGGAAAACATTGCTTTGTCTCTATAACTGTATGTTGATCTGCTTTATCAAATAAATAAAAATAAAAATACAACCAAACAGCTTTTTCCTGTTGCTTGTTTGAAGTGGTCTGGCTCCCTCTGAGAACAAGTTCCAAGATAAGCTATTCTGGAACATTCCCTGAAAAACAAGCTAAGGCATGTATAGTGTTTTGAGAAATTATTTTAGATTCCCTGCACATGTTCCATGGTCCCAGTTTTCCCCTAAATCCTACATACTTGGTGACAGTGTCAGTACCACTCATGCCTCTCAGTGAAAGTATAATCCATTGGGTCACATATAATGATTGATATATTCTGATTAATGCTTGGACATTTGGAATCATAACACATAACACTCAACAATATTTTCCAAATTTATTAGTTTGTATATGTATGAGCACATGTCCATATATGTAAATACATTCATATATGTGCATATACAAGTATATATAAAAAGTTCATGGCAAATGGAATTACAAGAATATTTTACTTCATACATTTTGAAAATGCATATAAGAAATATTCAAATGTTTAAGAAAATCTGTTGTAAGAGAACTAGTTATCAATGCAATTTTTTGCATAACATAAAACTTTTGATTTTTTTTATGTTTTTAAAGACGTATTGATTTTTATTGGAAAGGCAGATTTACAGAGAGAAGGAGGCACAAAGATCTTCCATCTGTTGGTTCACTCCCCAAATGGCTACAACAGCTGGAGCAGAGCTGATCTGAAGCCAGCAGTCAGGAGCTGCTTCCAGTTCTCCCACGCAAGTGCAGGGTCCCAAGGACTTAATCATTCTTTACTGTTTTCCCCAGCCACAAGCAGGAAGCCAGAAGGGAAGTGGATGAGTCAGAACACTAGCTGGTGTCCATTTGGGATCCTGCAGCTTGGAAGGCAAAGGTTTAAGCCCCTGAAGCATTGAACTGGGCACAAAAGTGTCTTTACATTCATTTTTTTCCATGCACCTTTTGAATTGCCCTTGTACATGTAAGACATTCTAATAAATTGCAATACATTTATTTTAGAATAAAAGTTAAAAATTGTAAAATTATTTTATTAAAATAAACTAGGTTAAAATATACTTATGAGCAACATTATAATTACTGGAAGTTTTACCTTGTTCTTTTTAGGTAAGGTTATAAATACTTTTCACTGAAATACTTGTGTTTCCTCTAGGATTTACAAATGTAATGGTGGGTGATAACTTGACAATATAACATTGTCAATATTAGTCTTCGTATGTGTTCTGAATCTTTATTATTCGTGTTATTCACATTGTTAAAGACTTTTATTTAATTAGGAGAGAGAGAGAGTGAGTCTTCCAAGTGTCAGTTTGCTCTCACTGTACCAGCCAGTGCTGGGTTGGCTAAAGGTAGGAGGTGGGAACTTAGTTCAGGTGTCGCATACGGGTACCAGGAAACTATACACTTGAGCTATCACTGCTGATTTCTAGGTCTGCAACAGTGAGGATCTAAAGTCAGGATCCGGAAATTGAACCCGGGTCCTTTGATGTGGGATGCAGGTGTCTTAAATACTATGTTAAATGTGTGTTCCTGCACTATAAAGCTTACGATATTATTTCCCATTTTTCATTTCAAATCACTGCAAATGTAGGCACTGAAAAATAACAATTGCTAGAAATCTATATTTTTCTAAATGCTCATTTTCTTAGTGTAAGTAAATGGTGAAAAAGACACACTACTGGCTAAACACAAGTTCAGAGGCAACACAGTGTTGCCCAGAAACTATTATTTATATGAAAACACTTGATGACAAATGTTAAACTGTAGACTTTGTGCTTTGAATTTTTATGTTTCAAAATAGCCTTTATCTGATCAGCTTTCTTTTAGTGCATTAGCACTGCAAGAATAGAGACTGCACTTAAAAATTTGGAAAACAAGATCCAGGAAATGA